AAGCTGATTTCACGTTTGCTCCAGGCATTATTCCAGAGCTGGATGAAGGTGGCAGGCTGTGGCAAGCCGACTGGGTCAATAATAGCCATTTTTACGTATTGCATGACACAATGGCATGCCATACACCTCGAGTGCCATCTAGCAGCTAAAAATGGTAGTTTTCAAATTTTTTCAGTCATAATGAATGAAAACTGTCATTTCTCAGCCAAAAATTGGTTTATAAATATGGAAAAAAATCTATAAATATGTTGCTTCGGTGTATAAGTCGCAGGGCATGTAAATTATGCGAAAAACTGTGACTTACAGGCTGAAAAATATGGCATATTGGACATAGAAAAACTCATATTGGTCAGCCTCTAATTAAAAAAAAAATGATACCAGAGTTGGGAACGCCTCGGGATTCCCCCGGAGGAGCTGGACCAAGTGGCTGGAGAGAAGGAAGTCTGGGCCTCCCTACTTAGGCTGCTACCCCCCCGCGACCCAACCCCGGATAAGCAGAAGAAAATGTATGGATGTATGGATACCAGAGTTCATATTTCTATTTTATATTCAATAGTAATCTCTTATAGGCAACGCACATTATAATTAGACTGATGCAATTTTTCCTAAATTATTGTTTTCTCTCAAGTTTTTTTAAATCTTTAAATTCTTTTGTCATTTTCATTTATAGTAAAAAAAATAATAAAGCCATCAAAACTGTTGCTGTTTTAAACTAATAAATAACACGTCTGCTGAGCAACAGTGTTGATTGGTTCGATAAGTCCGAATGTGTTTTTTTTTTTTTCCTCCGACAGGTTTGGGTTCTCCACATGCACTGAAAAGTTCACAGAGTTATATCGAGCACCAAAACTTAGCATCAGAGACATTTCATTCATTTAACTTTAAATCAATTGGTTGAATGAGTTTTTGTTGATTTCACGTTTCAGTTTTTTGTTGCTTTTATTGTTTCCACGTTTTCAGCTTCAGCTTTTTTCCAGCAGTTTTCTTTTATCCTCATGAATCAGATCCAGCGTAGAGCAGAACACACGGTGTTCGACCTCCTGCAGGTTGTTTATTATCTCTTTTCCTCTCTGCTTGTTTCTTCTTCTATTTACATGCTCCACAGGACATTGTTTGTCTCTTCACAGTTGGTTTTCAGTAATATACCCCCCCCCCCAGCAAAATGCTTTTTATCCTGTTTGTTTTTGATGCAAATTCTGTTTCTATGTAGTTTATTTGACTTAACTGAACTTTCTATCCCAAGCAGACATAATAAACCCACAAAAATTAGACTCTAAAATGGAATTCCTTATTAAAATTGAAGCATTTCAAAAGTTAGACTATCGACTGCATCTAAACAGACATCCCCACAGCACCACCGGAAAAACTGGTGCATAATTTTAATCATAACAAATATAATTTATAATTGTTTCCATGCTTTGTAATCATAATGTCTGACTTGTTTTCTTTTATTTCTTCCTTTCAGGATATTCTATGTTTCCCACGACTCACAGGATCTAAAGATCTTCAGCTACATCGCCAGAGATGGACAGAGCAATGTCTTCCGCTGCAACGTCTTCAAGTCCAAAAAGAAGGTGAGACAAAAAGACTTGTTGCAGAAATAAAATCATAATCTCAGACTGCAAAATTCCCACTCCATTAGTTCTGTCTGTTTACTGGCTTGTTAACATAAAAAACTAATCAGTGGATGAAAGTGCGCTGAGATCTTTAGGCACCACCATCGAACCTGGCAATATTTTTCTAATCTCATTGTCTAGTGAGCTTGTGCAAATGGTAGCTTCAGTTTTATGTTCTTAGCAGACAGGAGTGACACCCTGTGGGGTTTTCTGTTGTAGCCCATCTATATCTGTATCTATCTATATCATCTGTATCTATATCTATGTTGGTTGGAAGGAGCGGCTGGTTACTTGAGCTACTGTTGCTTTCCTTTTTTCCTGAGGCAGACTTCCCATTCTCCTCTGACTCTGGACATCAAACAAGCCATTTTCACCCATGATGCTCACTGGCTAATCCAGATAAAAAATCCAACAAAGTTAAGTCAGGTCATCTGGACGGTTTCTTTTTATTTGAAACGTTTCGTCCTTCATCCAAAGGACTTCATCAGTCTGTGGAGCCAAAACAAACTCGGTCCCAGAAGTGGCTTACTCATATACTTGTTTACTCACGAATCGCGCCGCTCAGGGTGGCAGCGTGTTGGAGTAGTTCTATTACTTTCATTCTGAGGTATTGCTTTTGAAAGCTTTAATTCTTATTTTTTTCTGGATGTAAATCACTTTTTTCAGATGATTATTTACTCTGGTATCGGATGCTGTGCAGCTGGACGGATTTTTACTGAAACCTTTTTTTTATTTTTGAGCATTTGTTATGATGTGTAACTATGGCAACAAGGTGTTTTTTTAACAACCAGGAGCAGCTGATAAACACCTCAAAAGCTCAAATACCTCAGCTACAGCCCCAAATCCCAAATGAGTTGAAAAGGAGGTGCCATGTATGAATTCCCGTCAACCTGGCAGCGGTGCTCGAGTACCTGACCGCCGAGATCCTGGAGCTGGTGGGAAATTCGGCTTGTGGCGACAAGATGACCGGGATCATCCCCCGGCACCTTCAGATGTCTGTCCATGGTGACGAGGAGCTTGGCAGACTGCTGGGAGGAGTGACCATTGCTCATGGAGGAATTCTGCCTGGTATTCAGTCAGTTCTGCTGCCCAGGAGGACCGAGAGGCCCACCAGATCTGACAGCAAACTAGATCCAGGTGGACGTATCGATATCTGTGGCCAGATTCTTCGGATTTGTTGCAGGAGATCCTTCCTGCCTACGGCTATCAGTATCTGTATCAACTCTTGAATGAAACCAGGATGATCCTGAGCTATGACAACACTTAATTTCCCTTTGGGATTAATAAAGCATTTTTGAATTGAATTTGAATTGAATAATGGGCCAACCAGATTGCCCAAAAAATTAATATTTTGAACCACTTTGGCTCTGGCTGCCTCAGAGTAGTCGATGGGGGAGTGGGCAGACTCCAGAAACCATGTTATCACCTTAAAACTGGTCGGCCCACTATGTGAGTAAGCCACTTATGGGACCGAGTTTGTTGTGGCTCCTCGGACTGATGAAGTCCTTTCGATGAAGGACGAAACATTAAAAAATAATAATAACCATCCAGATGGCCTGACTTAACTTTGTTGGATATTTTTACCTGGATTATTGAGCATGAACTTTGATGCTCGCTGAAAGTTTCTCTTTTTCTGACAATTTTCGACAAACCCTTGAGATGGTTTACTTGAAAATCACAATAGATGTTTCTGAAATACTTAGCCCAACAACCATACCACATTCCAATGTTCATTGAGCTGCTGCCATGTGATTGTCTGATTAGCTAACAGTGTTAACAAGCATCTGAACAGGTGGCCTAAAGTGAAAGTATATGTACTGACATCAACTTTCAGTCAAAATTAGGAAGATATAATTATTTTTAGCAACTGCCAGAGTCATAGTATCTTGTGTCCTTTGCTGACTTCATTGTGAATCTCATTTTCTTGTATTTCTGACCACTGCTGTCCAGAATAGCACTGACCTTCTGGGTTAAAGGACTTTTGTTTCCCCCAAAATACCGTACTTGCCGCCGTACATGTTGCACCACCGTATAAGTCGCATCTGTCCAAATATGTCTAATAAAGTGGAAAAAATCATAAATACATCGCTTCACCATATAAGTCGCATCTATTATGTGTCACGTTTGTCATACGTCACCACTGACCACCCGAAAACGTGGGCTGGTGTGCCAAAAATTGATTGGCTGCCAAATGGCGGCGGGAACGTGCATTGGAGGACTTTAACAAGAATTTAACAAGATTAACACTAAAAAAACAATTATTTGTTAGCTCGAAATTATAGCAAAGGTGTGTCTCAGTTTAACTTTTTCTTAATAAATACACTTTAACCGTCAAATCAGCTGCATTTCAAAAGCCGATTCGCTGTGCGGGAGCGCACAAAGGGAGGGCTAGCTGTGCATTTCTTCGAAATTTAACAAGATAACCACCTAAAAACAATAATTTGTTTGCTCGACATTATAGTAAAAGTGTGTTTCAGTTTAACTTCCTTAATAAATGCACTTTAATGGTCAAATCAGCTGCATTTCGCCTGGGTTCATCTCATCCTAAGCATTTCATTGTACTGTTAACCCTGTGTTAACCATCCATATGACAAATAAACACAACTTGAACTTGGGTGGCACGGCAAAATGCAGCTGATTTGACGTTTGCTCCAGGATTTCCGGAGCCAGATGAAGGTGGCTTTGTATGGCAAGCCAAGTGTCTCATTAATAGCCACTTTTACCTATTAATGAGACACTTGGCTTGCTATATAAGTCGAGGGCCCTCTAGTGGCTGAAAACGGCAGTGTTCTATATTTTCCATGTCAGAATGAATGAAATCATCAGATCTCAGCTAAAAATTGTTTTATAAATATGGGAAGAAAAAAAACATAAATACACCGTTTCGCTGTATAAATTGCAGGCATGCTAATTTATGCACAAAACTGTGACTTATACAGTGAAAATCACGGTAGTAATTAAGAAGCTGACCGGCCTGCCTGGATTTGTTGTCATGCAAACATAAAGATGTGAATTTATAATTTGTGCTGGTTTTATAATTGCAAAAAGAGGAGAGGGGGGAAAAAAAAAGTCTAAACATGACTCCAAGAGTGTGTGATGTTAGTTAGAAAATATGCCCTGAGTTTTCCACTTTTGCTGCCAATTCATAAGATTTCATGGTTAAATCCAGAGGTTAGCTGGGTGAGACACACACTGCCTCATTATCTCCCACATACAGACTGACACATGAGCACACACACACACTTTCTGAGCAGAGGACTAAATGGAAAGTGTCACATACCAAACGTCTCTGGGGTAATCAGGGCCATTGGACTGGAAACATCTCTCCATGGACTTCTGATAGTTAACACTTTTAAAGGGTTAAAGCATCTAATTTGCACTAACTTACAAAGTTCAACACACAACAACCATGTAAGGTTCTACAAAAGCAACACTTTGTGAAAATTGTCCATAAAGATTCTTAAATATGAACAAATATTTTGAGTGTTATAGAAAAGTGTGATTGACACTGACATTCTCTGGACATTCTTACATTAGGTAAGAAACGTTTTCATGATAAAGGCAGCAATTAACAAAATAATTGTTAGATACAGTAATGTTCATGAGCTGATCAGTTGGCTAAGTTATAACGAAGTGTTTGTGGGTCATCTTGAATCTAAATATTCTCACGTCTAACTTCGCAGTTTAGTAAAAACTGGATTTGGGGGCTTTCATTTGATTTTGGAGTTTCTTTTAGAAGAGACTTGGTCAAAACAAGGCACAAGAACCAGAACTGGGCCTACTGGGCTGTCTCAGTCACATCTTTTCAGTTCATTTCTTTTATTTTAAAGGACAGTTTACATTAATCAATATTCCACCGAATATAAATGCACCAGACTTAGCTCAGTTAACAGCTTTACATATTTACACTAAAAAGAAGAAAAAAAAAACACTTGGAAAAAAATAATAACAACCAGGATTTTACGTATTGCTCTTGAAGGAAGGTAAACCAAGGTATTTTATTATTCAGGTCTCTTATAAATCAGTCCCCGAGGCTCAATGGGATTAACCTGTATAAATAAAAGTTGAATGATTCTACAGTCTTTAAAAAATAAAGGAATAACAGTTATGTACAAGTTGTATGGTCATGCCTAGACAAAGATCAGATGTTTCAAAGAAAAGACTACACATTACATGTTTTAACCAGCTGTTTATGTCTCAATTAACTTTTACAACAGTTCACAAGACTTATGATTGGTCAAACCTAAGACCGTTCTTTACTATCAAATATAACAACTATACCAAACTTGTCACCATCAAAAAAGAAAGAAAAAGGCCCATAAAGTCACTTAGGGCATATCTTCTAAATGACAAACAAAAATCTATAGGTGAAGCAAAGGTTAGCTTCTTGTTGTACTGTATGTATTTCTTTATGCAGATGATGTGATGTTTTGTTATGATAAAGGTGGAACACCTTGCAATCCCAAGTTCAAATGTCTCTCCAGAAACAAAATGATACCTTCCTTTAGAACCAGGACAATGTTTTTAAAGCAAACATTTCAAAGGACTTTAAGCTTGTTGCTAAAACTATGTCTCAAACATACCCTCATGCATGCTCAGTAATCCAAGTAGAAAAATCTAAAAAAGTTAAGTCTGGTCCTCTGGACATTCAAAAAAACATTTTTGAATGTCCAGAGGACCAGACAACTTTTTTTTAGATATGTTTCAAACACCTCAATTTGGTTGGCGTTGTTGCTGTTTTTATTGCTTTATAATCAAAGTGGTATGGTATATAGACTCTAAACTATTATAATTTTGATTCTGAAACACTTTTGGTGCCAAAATTTGCTAAGTATACAGCAAATGGAATTTGAAAGGAATGTAAAACATGGTCAGCAGAATGATTAATGGAAACATCTTTAGGTCAGGTTGAACTGCTTGAACTAGAGTTAGACAATGTTAAAACAGCAGGCAATTGT